TATGTCCGTAACTTACTTTGAAATATACCAAAATTGACAACAAATAAGGAATGATTCACAAACACAGGAATGGATGAACACTCAGATAACTAATAGAGCTGGTCTAATACAATGTCAATGGTAAAAGCTAGGTGGTAGGCATATTAGTGGTAACCTTAAACTTCTTTCAATATTTCTTTTTTATTTTTATTTTTTTTTTGAGACGGAGTTTCACTCATGTTACCCAGGCTGGAGTGCAATGGCGCGATCTCGGCTCACCGCAACCTCCGCCTCCTGGGTTCAGGCAATTCTCCTGCCTCAGCCTCCTGAGTCGCTGGGATTACAGGCACGCACCACCATGCCCAGCTAATTTTTTGTATTTTTAGTAGAGACGGGGTTTCACCATGTTGACCAGGATGGTCTTGATCTCTTGACCTCGTGATCCACCCGCCTCGGCCTCCCAAAGTGCTGGGATTACAGGCTTGAGCCACCGCGCCCGGCCAATATTTCTATAGGTTCAAAAATTTTCACAAAAATATGTTAGGCAGAGAGAAAAATATTGTAATACTAAGATGACCAAATATAAAATAAATATCTAAAATTAATTGATCTTTCGTTATAGATTATAAGGAACGGAGAGTCAGAAAGCAATACACTGCAATAAAAGTAATAGTCTAAATTGAAGAAGAAAGGCAGGAAAAACAAAATTCATAGATAAATGGATAATCATAAAACCTTCCTAAAAATGATACCTCAACATTTAAAAACACTTCACTTCTAACAAACATACGCATAAACAATGTGAATGCACTCTCATAGTACCACCGGTTCAAACAGTAAAAACAACTTGTAAATGTTTATTACATAATATAAAGTAAAAGAGAAAACAGTAGTACCATTTACATAATTTATCTGAATAATGAATATTAAGCACATAACATACATGTCTAAAATTGAAATATTCTAAAAATTTGACAAAGGTTATCCTTCAGTAACCGAGTTTACCATGGCAGAGCTGTTATCTTACTGGTGTCAGGAAGAACCTCAAAAGAACCTCTTGGATACAAGAGGAATATACTAGAAACTTGCAGACAAAGGGTAGAAGCCACATCTTAAACATAAAAGATACTACTTTTATGTGTGCTAGATGATTGATCTCGCTGAAAACTTCCATTTTTGAAGATTCAAGACCAAGGGGTGATGGAGGGTGCCAAAGGGGATTTAAAAACCATTCGTGGAGAAGGGTCTTGGGCAGAAGGGGAATACTAATGATCATCAATTCTGTTCCAGTAGCCAGGGCTGGGGCTCAACGCACCACCTGCCATGCTTCCCAGGCCTCCAGAGCTGCAGCCCACACATCTGTAGCAGTAACACAACTGCCACCCGGATTAATTCCAAAACCTGCACCAGAAATCTCCTTACCTTAACCCCCAAGACAGTTCCTCAGTCACTTAGTGCCAAACACATCCCGAACCATAAACCTAATAGCTGACGAAACAAACCCTCCAGTTCGCAATCATTGAGCCCCGTCAAAGGACAACAGCAAAGACATCAGAATGTGGCTTGGGCACTCAGTAGCAGATCTCTAGAGATTTTTAACCACAAACCACACTAGGACCCTGTGACTGGTCCCAGAGGCACCCCAATCACACCCACCCACCCACACCCACAGACCCACCCACACCCACCAAACTACACACACACAGACCCCATCAGGGACCCCTTAGAGCGCCCTTGCGATAGGAATCGCACCCACGCTAAGCTCCTGAAAGAATTCCACTGGCGTAATCAAACGCTGGCGGCAACAGACCCGGGTCCCTCACCACTGTCCACGAACACGCCCAGCCACAGACCGAATTTCCTCCCCCGTAACCACAGTGACCGCCCAGTGACTGAACTTACTTCCCAGAAGTTGGTCAGCTCCGGCCTCATCTCTCAGCCTCCTCACTGCCTTACGGCAACTACCGAGGGCGGAAGCGTTCCCAGTGTTCGCTCAGAAGCAAAATGGCCGCGCCCTTGTCACCGTAGCCCCACGGGGGCCTCCATCTTTGAGTATCTGACGTACACAAGGCCAAGGGGCCGTTTTGGCGCTGGTCACCGGAAATGGCCGGGAAGATGAAAGGGCACCGAAGCCGTCACATTTCGTGGTGCCTCAATCCTTCATAAATACGGGTCCATATACCTAGGCTCCAGTTTACACAAGACAAAAATGGCGTGGAAGTAAATCCCTTTTAGCGAGCTGAGTAGAAGGCCAAGCTGGCCGCGACGTTTACACTCTGTACAAAGGTTGGGAAACAGCCCCTTGTGAGGGAAAAGGAGAACTGGCCGAGAGGGGACACCTCGGCCCCATGGCCGGATTTCTCGCAGAAAGTGGCTTGAAGCGCCTTTTGACGCGGAAGGAGGGCTGCTAGCTACGCTGACGGAACAGGGGTGGCAGTCACAGACTAGGTAATGAAAACGGTTGGAACGTGCCAAAATTACATTGAGCCAAAGGCATGGGGAAAAGCCAGTAAAAGCCAAAAAGTATAGTTCCCAAGGCGAAGGGCTGAGCCTGGGACGGAGGCGGGACTTCTCTTTTGGACCCGGGTGGAGCCAAAGATGAGGGCAGGACTCAGGAGAAGTGGCCAGAAATTAAGGGAACAGGACCACTTCAGGGAAAAATAATATTGGAAGAAAGGGGCGAAGGAAAGGAGATCCTTCCTTCCTTCCCTTTTTGTAGTACAGTCTGTTATTACCCATATTAAAGTTTTCCTTCTCTTTGAGCCATGAATTTTAAGAATTAATTCAATAGAACTCATCTTTGTGAGAACAAATATGTGCAGGGATATTTATGGTATCGATTTGACAATTATGAGGAGATAATTTTGTGGTTATTGCATAACTTTTTTCCTGTATCTCTATATTCACATCTTTGGATAGTATACACCATTGTGACTCTGACCAATGTGTCCAATAGGACAGTACCAAGTGTAACACAGAAGTCAGAAATAAGCTTCCTCATAGAGGCTTGCTTTGCCTCGTAGAGATCTAACACATTGTAATAAAGCACCTCCCCCCACTAGCCTTTTGTTGACTCTGTAAATAAAGGCCTCATCCATTCCAGCAGAAGTCCAAATAAGTGAAAAAAACTATTTAGACCATGCAACCTCAGTCAAAATCCAACCACTAGAGACTTCAGCCCAGCAGTCCCAATTGTTACTCAACTCTGTGGACAGGCATAAACCCATGGGTGTGTGGGGGTCACCTAATCTGCCATCCAGGTGCTTATTCCTGCTCTTAGCCAAGGAGGACTTGCCAGCCTGGTGGGTGTCCAAGTAGGGAGGAGCCCTCACTCTTGGATCACCGTAAGAGGTGAGACACCTTGGTCAGCAGGACATTGGAAAAGTCAGGTGTGCCTTCTTCTGTAGGGCCACCCGGCAATGATACAGCCTGTCTGCAAACCATGATCTCTGCCTGAGGGAGCCACATGAGCAGAGCATGCCAAAGGCCTTGGGAACCCACCCCTTGCACTAGATTTAATGACTGCCCTGCTGGATTTTGGACTTTCATGGAACCTGTAGCCCCTTTCTTGTGGCTTTCACCCTTTTGGAATGAGAATATTTACCCAGTGTCTATATCCCCATTGTATCTTGGAAGCAAATAACTTGATTTTACAGGCTCACATGTAGAAGTGGCTTGCCTTGTCTCAGAATAGAGTTTGGACTTTTGAGTTAATGCTGGAATGAATTAAGACTTTAGGGGACTGTTAGGAAGGCATGATGGTATTTTGCAATGTGAGGACATAAGATTTGTGGGAGAGGAGGACCAGGGCTGAATGATATAGCTTGGATATTTGTCCCTGCCCAAATCTCATGTTGAAATGTAATAGTCAATGTCAAAGGTGTGGCTTGGGAGGTGTTTGGGTCATGGGGGCAGATCCTTCATGGGGGTTTGATGCTGCCCTTGCAATAGTGAGTACTAGCAAGATCTAGTTATTTGAGCGTGTGGCACCTACCACCCTCCACTCTGTCTTGCTCCTGCTCCCTCTTCACCTTCCACCATGATTGTAAGCTTCCTGTGGCTTCCCCAGGACCAGATGTCAGTGCTATGCTTCCTGTACAGCCTGCAGAACCATGAGCCAATTAAACCTCTTTTCTTATGAATTACCCAGCCTCAAGTATTTATTTATAGAAAAGCAAGAATGGCAAAAAACATGCTGTCTCTACTTTAAAAAAAAAAAAAAAAAGCCAGGCATGATGGGACACACATATAGTCCCACTTACTTGGGAGGCTGAGGCAGGAAGAACAATTGAACCTATGAGTTTGAGATTGAACTATAATTGTACCACAGCACAAGACCCTCTGTCTTTTTTTTTTTTTTTTCCAGTCAGAGTCTTACTCTGTCGCCCAGGCCTGGAATGCAGTGGCAGGACCTCAGCTCACTGCAACCTCCACCTCCTAGGTTCAAGTGATTCCTGCCTCAGCCTCCCAAGTAGTTGGGATTACAGGTGCCCACCACCACACCTAGCTAATTTTTTGGTGTATTTTTAGTAGAGACAGGGTTTCACCATGTTGGCCAGGCTGGTCTTGGACTCCTGACCACAAGTGATCTGCCTGCCTCAGCCTCTCAAGAGACCCTATCTCTTTTTTTTTTTTTGAGACGGAGTTTCACTCTTGTTACCCAGGCTGGAGTGCAATGGCGCGATCTCGGCTCACTGCAACCTCCGCCTCCTGGGTTCAGGCAATTCTCCTGCCTCAGCCTCCTGAGTAGCTGGGATTACAGGCACGCGCCACCATGCCCAGCTAATTTTTTGTATTTTTAGTAGAGACGGGGTTTCACCATGTTGACCAGGATGGTTTCGATCTCTTGACCTCGTGATCCACCCGCCTCGGCCTCCCTAAGTACTGGGATTACAGGCTTGAGCCACCGCGCCCGGCCGAGACCCTATCTCTTAAAATAGAAAAGAAAGAGGTTAAGATTGTAAATCCTAAAAAACAAACAAAAAACAAACAAAAAAACACCAAAAGCAAAATCCTGTATATAAATTTCACAGCATCTTTATTTATAACACTTCAAAATCAGGAAAACAGTGCAAATCTCTCTCATAGGTGAATGGATAAACAAACTAGTATATCATATATGTATGCTACTCCCTAATACAAACAACTTTCATCTGATTAGATGATGGTAAAAAAATAATAATAAAACTATTCATCAACTCATATAAACCTTTGGAGTAATTTGCTGAGTAACAAAAATGCCAAAAGCTTAAATACTCTCTATCAATAAAAATTTATATAAAATTTATAAAAACCATTTATAAAAACAATTTTATCACATTCATGAAATTATTAAATTACACTGATGGAAAGGCAAAAGAGTGGGTGGCAGAGTTAGGTTTGGATGGAGTGTAAGCATAAAAAGGTAGTATGAGGGAGTTTGTGTTCATTAAACAGTTTTATGTGGTTGCGGTGGTTACACGAATCTACACATGTAATACAACTTTAAGAGTCAAAAGAAAAAAGAAAAAAAACATAAAAACTAGTGAAACCCCAGATAAGATTATTTACTTCATGGTATCCTGCCAATGTTATTTTTCTGGTTTTGATAATTATGGTCATGTAGGATGTTTTTACCAGAAGTTGGTTGAAAGATACTGACTGGCAAAACCTCTAGACTATTTTTGCAATTTCTTTTGAGTTCAATTTTATTTAAGTTGAAGATGTTTTTATAAACCAATAAATCTTAGTTAAGCACATCCAAATATGTTGTTATGTTAATATATTTAACATATTCAGTTTCTTTTTAAACTACTTCAGTTTGCTAAATGTACAATTAAGCTTAGAGCCAAAGAAAGGAAAAAGCTAATCATAATATTTAGTGGTCATAGATCATTCCTGTCTGGTTCTGAGGTATTTTCTGACACCAATAAATTCTCCAATTCTCTCACACCAACTGGGTGTTCTACAATTCAATTCTGACACTAACTACTCCAAGTCAGTGCAGACTCTACAAGTTAAGGGGCTCAGTCCAACAAGACTTTCCGCACATCAGATGCCACTCACAAGGACAACCTGCACTTCTGAATGACTGGTGATAAATTCAGAGTTCCCACTACCCCTGCTCAGGTTTGATAATTTGCTACAGGGCTCACAGAACTCAAGAAAACACTGTACTTTGTTTTATTGATTATAAAGGATGCAAATGAACACTCAGATGAAGAGGTACACAGAGTAATGCCTGAAAGGGTCCTCCTAATCTCAGGAGCCTCTGTCCCTATGAAGTTGGGGGTGTATACCCTCCTGGGATATTTGGAGTTCTCTTAATCTCACTGTCTAATCTCCCGTCCCCCTCCCCTTCCAGGAGGCAGGAGAAATGGGACACAAAATTTCCATCCTCTAGTTACTTGATCTTCCTAGGGAACAGCCACATCCTGAGGCTGTCTAGGTGACCGACTATAAGTTACCTCAGTAGCATAGTCAGGTGTAATTAAAAGGGCAGTGCTATGAATAACAACAACAAAAAGAACAATCCTATTACTCATGAAATTCTAAGGATTTTAGGAGCTCTGTGCCAGGAACTAAGGACAAAGACCAAATGTATGTCTTATTATACCACAATTTTACATAACAGTAAAAATAAACAGTGATGAGAACAGAGTATATTATGGAATCATTGGCAAGGCAACTGAAAATACACACCAGGTGTATTAGCTGATGTATAAGGTTATTAAGAAAAAGCACTCAAACATTCATCATTTTTACCACATTTCATGCCTTCATGAGCTCTTGATATTTTGCTAACAGTGTTCCACATTTGATAGCATGTTCATAACAATTTTACTTTCCATGTGATTTCCTGACAAATGATGAAGCAGAATGCGTCACTGAAATCCTGCCATTAATACTGTTACCTTAAATTTATTCTCCAGTGTAAACTTTGACACTCACTGAGGTCATATTTCTGAGTAAAGGCTTTGTCATGGTCATCATGTTTCTATCAACAATAAGCTCACTTATGTTGAAATCTATGATGAAAGTTGATAATAAAGTCTATCTTTCCAGAGAAGACTTTTCCTAGTCTCTGCCTTCACAGAATTTATCTGTGTACACTTTTCAGATATATGAACAAAAGTTATTGCTCAAGACATTTTCACATTAATATATTATAGTTTATTCAACATGTTTTCATTAACAGAAAATATGAGGTAAAAGACCACTAAAGGCACTACCTTATTTACTGTATTCATCAAGTTTATCTCTAGGGCAAATTATTTTACCTCCTGAGGACACACATCTGATAACAGGCAGCACCATGTTTATGTTCCGATTTGCTAGAGACACACTGATGTTTAAAAAACTCTGAGGTGCCACAAAAGGCATTTCCATAGTCACGTGCTAGTAGGGTTTTCATTATGCATGAGTTCACTTATAAGGATGGAGCTGTGACTCCCCATTACAGGAATTTTCAACTTGACTGATTCTATTATCCATTTCTCTTATGTGCATCTTCTTATGCTTGACAAGGTTTGATAAGTGGGAGAAGGCTTTCTCACAATCACTGCATCCATAGGGCCTCTCTCCTGTGTGCGTTCTTTGATGTACATTGAGTACCGACTTTGTGGTGAAGGCTTTTCCACATTCATTGCACTCATAAGGTTTCTCTCCTGTGTGAATTCTCTGATGGGTAATGAGACCGTATTTGTGTGAATAGGATTTTCCACACTCAGTACATACAAAGGGAGTCTTTCCTGTATGACATCTCTCATGTTGTATGAGGCATATTTTCTGGCTGAAGGCTTTACCACATTCATTGCATTCATAGGGTTTTTCTCCTGTATGAGTTCGCTGATGTATAATAAGAGTACGCTTTGTGGTGAAGCCTTTACCACATTCATTGCATATGTAAGATTTCTCTCCTGTATGAGTTCGCTGATGTATAATGAGAGTGCGTTTGACGGTGAAGCCTTTTCCACATTCGCTGCATATGTAAGATTTTTCTCCTGTATGGGAGCGCTGATGTACAATGAGATTGCTCTTCACGGTAAAGCCTTTTCCACATTCACTGCATATATAGGGTTTCTCTCCAGTATGAGTTCGCTGATGTACAACAAGATAGCGCTTCATGGTGAAGCCTTTTCCACATTCACTGCATATATAGGGTTTCTCTCCTGTATGAGTTCGCTGATGTACAATGAGATTGCTCTTCACAGTGAAACCTTTTCCACATTCGTTGCACACATAAGGTTTCTCTCCACTATGAGTTCGCTGATGAGCAATTAGATAGCGCTTCATTGTAAAGCCCTTTCCACACTCACTGCACATATAGGATTTCTCTTCTGTATGGGTTTGTTGATATGCAATGAGACTACTCTTCATAGTAGAGCCTTTTCTATATTCACTGGCTATACAGATTTTGTCTCTTGCATTAGTTTTCAGATGCTTACTAAACAGGACACTTCTGGACAACTTCTCACACTGACCACTTCCAGGATTCTCTTCTATATGAATGTTCTCATGGTAAATGAGCTGAGACTTCCTAAGGAAGGTTTGCTCACTTTCAATGCATGCATGGGGTTTCTCAATTTTCTGAGTCCTCTGATGCTTAAATACTTGGAATTTTGTATGGATGCATTTTGAATTTTCAGAAAATCTAGTTTTAGTATGTGTATGTTCATGCTTACCATGTAGAAGGGTTTTCTCACTTCCAATAAACTCAACAGGGTTATTTATTCCATGTCTTCTCTTCTGGTTGATTAAACTTAAACTTGATTTCAAGTTTTTTCTGTACAAGCCAAATGTATCATGATTTTGCACTAGAGGAAAATTTGTCTTGCTGAGATGTACAATATTTCTAAATTCATTCTGTCCATTGTATTGCTGCATGCTTTTCAGAAATCTTTGGTTTGGAGAGTGCTCTTGCAGATGACTGTCAACTTTCCTGATTCCTAAGAAAGAACAGAATAACAAATTCTTTCTTGAGAATTGTATGAAATAAAAATGCTTATGAGATGATTTGCTGGGGGCTGGCTCTTTATTGTCAACTCTATGATCTCAATATAAAAGGAAATTATGAAGATGTAAGATGAAATAAGTAAGAAACAGATCAAGAAAAGATAAAAAGTCTTTAAAACTATAACAACATTTAAAAAGTTATCAGATGGGGAGATGAATATATAGAGTAGCTGGTTAGGTATCCTCAGATGTTTTACATCTGTGACACCTTTCCTTAATGACTAAATTAAGACTCCGATCGCCACTGTCCTTGCTGGTTCTCACTTACCTGGACAATTTTTATTCTGGATTTTAGCATCTGTTATCCATGGTTCTTGTCCATGTGCCAACTTGGATAGTACATCTGGTTTGCTAGTTTGATACCCTGTTCATGAGGAAAGACAATCACAAACATTCTGAATCGGAGTCCAGTATGTCAAGATGGGAAAATAATACATTCAATTTCAAAGTAAGCATTCTCTCTTAGAAGAGATTATACCACTTTGGGTCAGAGAGGGGACTTGAAAATGTAACTCTTTCAAACACCATAGTGACTATAAAGCTTTGATTAGGTGAGCCTAGGACAGTGTCTGGGCATTGTAGGCACATCTAGGTAACACAGGGGAACTATTCTTACCCAGTGATACCAGGTGGTTATAGTTCTCCACCATCACATCCCGGTACAGGTCCTTCTGAGCAGTGTCTAGGAGCTGCCACTCCTCCCAGCTGAATTCCACAGCCACGTCCTCCAGGGTCAGTGATTCCTGTAATTACAAAGTCCTATTTAATATGATATAAACTCCTATTGTTAATATAAAAGTATGAGATAATTTTTTTAAATTTTCACAATACAGCCTGCATCTATATTCCTTTCTCAAATATACTTTGGAAGGGGCAAAATCCTCTATCTATATATTTTAGCACCTATTTCTAAATATTAAACAAAGGCAAATGACATCAAGACAAATAAAACATCCCTACATTACCAATGACTTCACAGCCAAGGATCTGACATGAATAGACTCCACATCTTGAATTCATAAAATAGTACTTTTAAATAAATGTAAGAGAAAAAAAAGAAACTATATATGTATAAAGCACAAAAGACCCTTAAAGTTGATTAGACTTGTATTTATTTTTTAATTTTTAAAGAGACAGAGTCTTGCTCTGTAGCCCCAAATGGAGTGCAGTATCATGATCATAGCTCACTGAAACCTTGAACTCCTAGGTTCAAGCGACCTTCCCACCTCAGCCTCTCAGGTAACTAGGACTACAGGTGGATGCTACTACCAATTTTTGTAGAGACAGTGACATGTTATGTTGACCAGGCTGGTCTTGAAGTCCTGGCCTCAAGTGATCCTCCTGCTTTGGCCTTCCAAAGTGCTGGGATTACAGGTGTGCGCCACTGCCCCCAGCAAAAAAAAAAAACTTCTAACAGAAAAACGGACATATGTATGTGTATTAATGGATAGATTAACAGCATATTAGATACTTATGGTTTCTAAAAGGGAAAATACTGTAATAGAGAAGCAATATCTATTAATAAATATCTAAAAGCTAAAATATTTCAGGATTGACTAAATACCTGAAATCTCAACAAGTTTAGAGCAGAAACTCACAACTGGTGTGACACGTCAGACTGAAACTACCATACATCAAATGCAAAGGGAAAACTATAAAATGGTCAAGAGACAAAAGACAGATTACCTACAAAGAAATAGCAAAATGTACTGGTGGCTGACATTTCAATAATAGAATCCAGAAAAGTATGGAATACTATCTTTGAAGTCCTGATTCTTGCAACAAAAAAGGCCAATTTTGGAAGGCCATTTGGGATTAAAACACATGGCTAGCAAATGACATGCTATCTTACAACCGTGATATCAGGGACCTGTTTGTCAAGTAAACTGCCATTCTCCTGCTTCACAGTAACTTTTCAAAGAACTTCAGTGTGTGAAGTAGAGGTAACTAAGATCCAAGGAAATACTGGTAAGATCATCTATCTTATACTACTGTGTGGGATGCTGCATAGTCAAGAAAGTAGACTCATGAAAGGGTGCAAGTGCTCAAGCCTGGTCAGCTTATCTCATTCTAAATCTTTATGTGAGATGTCTATCAACTGGGTAAATGTAAAGTTAAATTTCTACCTCACTCCATGGTCCAAAAGAATTTATTACTGGATGGAAATCTTGCAGGCCAACTCTAAGGTAGCCTCTGATAATCTCATTCTCTAGCTGCAGTGACTTCTGACATCAGCTACCTGGGTTAGGCCAAACTTACCAGGTTAAAAATACAGTCCTCCACAAGACTGCCCTCACTTCAGACACAAGCTGCAAGCTTGAAGCTACATAGACCACCCTCAACTGCAACTAGCTGGCTACAAATGTATGGAGCTACCATGACTCCCTCAGGTTTAATAATTTGATAGAACAACTCAGACAATTCAAGAAAGTGCTGTATTTACAATTAGCACTTTACTATTGCAAAATGACACAAATCAGAATCAGCTAAAGGAAAATATGTACAGGGTGAGGTCTGGGAAAGTTCCAAACATAAAGCTGCTGACTGTCCTCTCCTCATGGAGTCCTGGGTGGCATAACATCTTCCTGACTACATCATGTAACAGTATTCAAGAGTACTTGCCAACCAGCGACATGCACCCAAATTTTGATGTCCGGAGTTTTTATTGAGACTTCATTATGTAGGCATGGTTTATTGAAAGCACTGCCCATGTAGCTGAGTTCAGTCTCCAGTTCCCTCCCCTTTCTGACTCAAAATCATAATTCTCTAATCACATAGTGCTCTTTTTGGCATGGGCAGCCCCTATCCAGTGTCATGTCATTGCCATAAATTATCTAGGGATCCACTATGAGTCACCACTATATATAGATAGATATAAGCTATCAAATATGAGTGGCTCACCATGAATGACAGAGACACTCTTACAACTTGGGTCATTACAAGAGTTTAGAGGTTACCTCCCAGGAACGAAAGACAAAGGCTAGCCAAATTCTTTATTACACTCCAGGTATTCCTGCCCCTGTGCAGTACCATCCTCCTAAATATCAAGTGGTCTAATAGCTTGTTTCTTTTTTTTTTTTTGAGACGGGGTTTGGTTCTTGTTACCAGGGTGGAGTGCAATGGCGCAATCTCGGCTCACCGCAACCTCCGCCTCCTGGGTTCAGGCAATTCTCCTGCCTCAGCCTCCTGAGTAGCTGGGATTACAGGCACGCGCCACCATGCCCAGCTAATTTTTTGTATTTTTAGTAGAGACGGGGTTTCACCATGTTGACCAGGATGGTCTCGATCTCTTGACCTCGTGATCCACCCGCCTCGGCCTCCCAAAGTGCTGGGATTACAGGCTTGAGCCACCGCGCCCGGCCTAATAGCTTGTTTCTAATGAAAAGAATACAGGAAAAGTGATGAGATGCCACTTTAAGATTACAGTCTATGTGACTTCCATTTTGCTAGCAGAATCTGTCATTTTCTGGCTTTGATTAACACTTTTTGGCATACAGGGGAGGTACACGTGGCAAAAAACTAAAGGTGGCCTTAGAAAGGCAAGTAGAAGCTGAGGAACTCAACTGAACTGCCTCATTTCTCATTCTGGAAATGAATTCCTCCCAACAACCACATAAGTGAGCTTAGATGCACATCTTTTCCCATTTCAGCCTTCAGATAAGATGCCAACCTGGCTAACACCTTGACTAAAATCCCATAAGATACTCTGAATCAAAGTAGCCAGCTAAACCATGCCCTTATTCCTGAGCCACAGGAAGTGTGAGTTTTTTTTTTAAAGTGTTGTTTCAAGTCATTACATTTTGGAGTAATTTCTTAGGTACAATGAACACTCTACCTAAGAAATTAGACAATGAACATAAGATATAAACTTAAGAGGAACTTATGAGGCTAGGAGTGGGGCTCATAATCCCAGGACTTCCAGAAGATAGTTTGAACCCAGGAGTTTGAGACCAATCTTCAACATAGTGATACCCTGTCTCTACTCTCTACAGATAATAAAAAATTAGCTGGAGTGTGGTAGTAGATGCCTGTGGTCCCAGCTATTCAGGAGGATAAGGCAGGCAAACAATACTTGAGCCCAGGAGGCTGAGGCTGCAGTGAGCCATGACTGTGCTACTACTGTACTCCATCCTGGGGAAGACAGCAAGTCCCTGTCTCAAAGAGAAAAAAAAGGAATAAAAGAAAACATGTTCATAAGTGAAAAGCTTTAAAAAATGACTTCTGCATGGGAAAAAATATTATGAACAAGCTAAAAAAGAAGTAAGACTCTAGAAAAATATTTGCAATACATAAAAGAATTAATATCCAGTCAAGATAAACAACCATAAATCAGTAAGACCACAAAAAAATTAAATAAGCAAAAACTAAAGACAGTTTATCACATTACAAATAATCCAAAGAAGCAACAAAGAGATCAGAAGGATCTGAACCTCACTGGTGAATGGGAAAATGCAAAATAAAATAGGGCAAAATAATACTGGATCATCTAGATCATGGAAAACATACAATTTGATAACACAGTAAGTGTTGGCAAGATTTGCAGCACTGAATGTTCTTTTTGTGCAGTGTTTTCCAACATTAACAACCAATTCTCCAATTCTCTAAATATCAACTAGATGTCCAACAATTCAATTCAGTTCTGACACTACCTGTGTCAAGAGTCCACAGATTTAAGTGTTCAGTCCCACAAGACTGCCTCCTCTTAAGATGCCAGTCATAAGTCCTGGGCTATCAGTGTTTCTGATTAACTGGCTATAAATTAGGGGCTCCCATAAACCCCTCCTTAGGTTTGATAATTTACTAGAACTGCTCATAGAACTCAGGAAACACTTTACTTATGGTACCTAGATAATAATAAAGGATATAACTCAGGAACAGCCAGAAGAAATACATAGGGCAAGGGTTGGAGGATGGCATGCCAAGCTTCCATTCCCCTCTGGGTGCATTATCCTCCCAGCACCCTGGTATGTTCACCAACCTGAAGCTTGTTCAAAAGAGTTTTTTTTTTTTTGAGATGGAGTCTTGCTTTGTCACCAGGCTGGAGTGCAATGGCACAATCTCGGCTCACTGCAACCTCCACCTCTCAGGTTCAAGAAATTCTCCTGCCTCAGCCTCCCAAGATGATGGTACTACAGGCGTGTGCCACAATGCCCAGCTAATTTTTGTATTTTTAGTAGAGATGGGGTTTCACCATGTTGGCCAGGATGGTCTCGATCTCTTGACCTTTTGATCAGCCCGACTTGGTCTCCCAAAGTGCTGGGATTACAGGCGTGAGCCACTGCACCTGGCCTGTTCAAGAATTTTCATAGAACTTAATCTCTAGTCCATTCCTCCTTTCAGTTCCAATCCTCTTATTGCTTGGTCTTTCTGGGGCCTAGTCTCAGTCTCATCCTGACACTATCTAGAGGTCCCATCATGAAATTCAGGCTCCTCACGAATAACAGAAGACACATCTATTCCTCAGGAAGAAATTCAAAGGGCTTTAGGCATACCGTGCCATGAACTGAGAACAATGACCAAATATATTTCTTATTATACCACATTTACACGTCACTTTTTATATAACATACTGTGACAAAATAAATATACACTTGGTTTCTACCCTCCGAAATCTTTGGAATTGCTGAAGTGATAGTGTCTTTTGTATGCTATTGAGATGATTGGTGGCTGGGGCTCTTCCATGGCCTCAGGAAGGAAGCTGGTTGCCGGGGGAAACAACCTTGTGATCAGACAGTTGGAACTTACAGTCCCACTTCCCCAGTCAACCTCTGACCTCTGAGGAAGGGAGAGATGATAGAAATGGAGCTGACCACCAATAGTTAATGAATTAATGAATTATGCCTATGTAATGAATCTGCCACCATAACAATAAAAGGATGAGGTTGAGAGCTTCTAGGCTGCTGATCATACGGCAGTCCTGGGAAGATAGAACACCTGGAGAGGGCACCGAAGCTCTGTGGCTCTTCCCCATTACCTGGCCCTATACATCTTTTCCAACTGGCCATTCCTGACTTGTACACTTTCATAATAAACCAGTACTCTAGTAAGTAAACTGTCTTCCTGCATTTTTTGAGGCTGCTAGCAGATGAATAAATTTGAGTTGGGGGGTGGTGGGGACATCCAATTAGTAGCCAAGTCCAATAGAAGTTGTGAGTAACCTGGGGACCCAGCACTTTTCAGGGGGCAGTCTTGTGGGACTGAGCCCTCAACCTGTGGGGTCTGTCCTAAGTCCAGGCAATTAGTGTAAGAATTGAGTAAATTTTAGAATACCTAATCAGTATGGAGAATTGAATTGATGTGTGGGGAAAACCCCACATATGTGGTGTCAGAAACATTGTCTGAGAATAGAGAGTAAAACTGTTGTTCCTGTACATAGATACTCTTCTAAATACATTATATAGATCTCATTTTATGCCCTTACTATGTAGGTGCCATATCATCCTTCTTACAGATGAGAAAACTGAGGTGCATAATTGACTAAATGAAGTATGTGCGGTCACACATCTGGCAACTGACTCCAGAGTCAACACTTCTGGCCTTATGCTACACTCACCATAAAGTGGAATGTCCATTTTGACAGCAACTGAAAGTATGCATTAAATGACTACACCCTAAATTGATTTATTTGTAACCATCCTCAAGTAATACTGATATAATTTCACAAAAAAGCCATTAACACGACCATGTAACCTTGTTCAGTCATGTAGTTTATAACAATATGCCTAAATATTCACCTGAACTGCTAAATTATCGCACAAACATCATTTGGAGTTCATTGCATTAGGTTAAAAAAAAAAAAAAAAAAAGAACTTGGCTGGCAGGCACTACCATGCAAAGAATGCCAATATATTGAAAATGGTCTGGAGGATGTACTTTAAAATGACAACCATAGTTCATTCTCAAGAGATGATTCATGTATCACTGTAATGGTCAAAGAGTTGAACTATAAATAAAGCTTGCATTCTTTCATATTGAGTCTACTTTTTCTTTCCTTTTTTTTTTGAGACAGGGTCTCACTTTGTCACCCAAATTTGAGTGCAGTGGTGCAAACATGGCTCACTGTAGCTTCATCCTCTCAGGCTCTAGCAATTCTCCCACCTCGGCCTCCCGAGTAGCTGGGACTACAGGTGTTCACCACCACACCCAGCTAATCTGTGTATTTTTTATAGAGACACGGTTTCACCATATTGCCCAGGCTGGTCTTGAACTCCTGAGCTCAAGCGATCCAGAAGCTACTTCATAAGGCAGAATGAACCCCCACCTCTGCTCCCAAAAGCAGTCTAAGTTAATTTCTCCCTAGTACATAATTATCCCAGTATGTACTTCCTTAAGTTCAACTGACTGTTTCAGGCCACCATAAATCTATCAAAAAAAAAAAAAAAAGGGAAAATATAACAAACCAAAAATCACCTGGGTCTTGATCATTTTCTTCTGTGCTCAGAAAATAGTGGATAACATGGACTATACGTCTTTGTCTCTTCTGCATTTACCGTGAAGTTTTCCTAGTCAGAAATATTGGCGTCCACTTAAAGTTGTCCCTAGAAATGATATCCAAGGCCAGCAACCTCCTTCTTCCTTCATTGCTTCACTTGAGTTATCTTGCTTCTGGGAGCCAGGACCTAAGGGCGGAAGAGCAAAATGGCTTTAAGTGTACATTCATCCTGGGTCCAGATGTTGTCACTGCTGCTCTGTACTTACCTTAAATAAAAGACCTTAATATTTACAGTTCCTTTATTTGGTGCCTTAGGGGTTTATACACCTAGATCAATAAAACAGGGCTCTAAATGTATGAAAGCTATGACTTTCTTTTGTGAAGTAGAAGTGGCATGACTATTATAGAGAAGGTAGAAAGCAGAACCGACACAGCTCAATGCCTCAGAGGCAGAGGAATTCTCAGGCAGATCAATTTTCGGAAAAAGAACACATGGAAGACTCCAAAGATGTCTTTAAAATGCATGTGTGCTCATGTACTGCTTCAAAAGTCTCTGTATGCTCTATGGGTATACATATCTCAGTGTCAAGACCAATGTACTAAACAAATCATAAGAACTATCTCATTTCACATTCTGCGCTAAAGAATTAACTTTACCCAAGAGAGGTTTGTCCTTTGCCCACAGTTCCAATGAGGCAAGCTCTAAGCCTTTGGAATACGCTGCTTGATAAAATTGTCTTTGGTTATCAGGGCAATTTGAGCCATGCCAAATTGTCTATCCTAATAATGTGATTTACTGTGGGAGGCCTTGGACCATGTGGTATTAGTTTGATATCTGGAGGGGCTGGAGATTGAAGTCAGCCACAAGGGAAGTCAATTGTGTGTATGTTAACTGATACCCAATAAAAACTCTGAACACCAAGGCCTAGATGAGTGGCAACAATGGTTGCAATGGCTGGCAATAATATATATATATATATTTTTTTGAGACGGAGTTTCACTCATGTTACCCAGGCTGGAGTGCAATGGCGCGATCTCGGCTCACCGCAACCTCCACCTCCTGGGTTCAGGCAATTCTCCTGCCTCAGCCTCCTGAGTAGCTGGGATTACAGGCACGCACCACCACGCCCAGCTAATTTTTTGTATTTTTAGTAGAGGCGGGGTTTCACCATGTTGGCCAGGATGGTCTCAATCTCTTGACCTCGTGATCCACCCGCCTCGGCCTCCCAAAGTGCTGGGATTACAGGCTTGAGCCACCGCGCCCGGCCTTGGCTGGCAATAATATGAGCGTCTAGATATAAGGACATGACATATGAAGCAAAACAGAATTAGAGAGGATTAGACAATTCCACAATAATAACTGAAAACGTTATTACCTTACAATAATAAGGAAAACAAACAGAAACTCAGCATGGATACTGAAAACTTGAACAACATAATCAATCAACTAGACTTAACTGATATTTAACACTACACTCAACAGCAGTAAAATAAACATTTTTTTCAACAGTATGTGTTATATTCTCAAGGAAAGACCATATGCTGGGATATAAAACAAGTGTCAATAAATTCTAAATATATTTTCCAACCACAATTTAATTAGAAATCAACTTCAGAATGAAATTTAGAAAATATCCAAATATTTGGAAATAAAATAGCACAGTTCTGAATAACCATGGTTAAAAAGAAAATCATGAGCCAGGTACTCACGATTTGTAATCGTGGTTCACACCTGTAATCCGAGCACTTTGGGAGGCTGAGATGGGTGGATCACTTGAGGCCAGGAGATCCAGACCAGCCTGGCCAACATGGTGAAGCCCCTTGTCTACTAAAAATACAAAAAATTAGCCAGGCATGGTAATGCGTGCCTGTAATCTCAGCTATTCAAGATGCTGAAGTGGAAGAATCACTTGAACTCAGGAGGTGGGAGCGGAGACTGCACCACTGCACTCCAGCAAGGACCAGAGCAAGACCCTGTCTCAAAGGAAAAAAAAAAGAAAAAGAAAAAGAAAAAGAAAGAAAGAAAGTGAGAGAGGAAAAAGAAAAGCACACAGGAAATTGGACAATATTTTGAACTGATGGGAAACAAAAACACAACATCAACATTAATTAGCTGTCTCTACAGGAGTTCTTCTTAAAAAACAAACAAACAAACAAAAACTTTAAATTAGAAAAAAAAAACCTGTATCAGAAAAGAAAAAACCCTCAAATCATTACTCAATAAACGAACTGAAAAACTAGAAAACAAGGAGCAATTAAAACACAAAGCAATTTGACTGAAAAAATAAAGAGGAAAGTGGAAATCAGTGGGAAAAAAACAAACACATTTATTTTTTTAAAAAGCAAGAATACAAAAAGGGACTGAAAAAAATCAGTAAAACTGATACCCACTAACTAGGTTGATCAAGAACAAAAGACACAAGTTACCTTGTGTCTAAAGAAAGGCATAGCTTTCACACATTTAGAATCTTGTTTTATTGCCCCAGGATGTAAAAGCCACTGAGGCACCAAATAAAAGAAGAAACATTAGGGTCCTTTATTGTTAGAAATATTAGCGTCCTTTATTTAAGATAAGTGCACAGCAGCAGTGACAATCAGGAATGTAAGATGTGACATTACTACTGCTGACTACAAAAATTAAACAGCTTATGAAGTTACTTCATGAACAATTTTATGTCACAGATCTCTGTCTCCTTTATTGTTAGAAATATTAGGGTCCCTTATTGTTAGAAATATTAGGGTCCTTTATTTAAGGCAAGTGCACAGCAGCAGTGACAATCAGGAATGTAAGATGTGATATTATTACTCCTGACTCTACAAAAATTAAACAGCCTATGAAGTGACTTGAACAATTTTATGTCACCGATCTCTGTCTCCATAAGAGAAGAATGGCGATGTGGGGAGACAAAATAAGTTTTTGATAAGGACCGCGAGGACGGACTTGAACTTGATGGAGGTAAGTGGATTTGAGCAGGAGAAATGCAGCCTTGAGGGCTGTCCCCGCATTCAAGGTTTCAACCAACTAACAAGGGGCCCTGGACCTCCTCACATATTGACAGTCCCTACCAGGATTCTCCGTGTCTCAGGCCCATATTAAATCCCATATAAAACCCCAAACACGTCTAGGAAACCGAAAGGACATATCCCCAACCGAGACATCTCTAAGGCTAAGCCCCACATTAAATCGCGACCCTGAACAAGGCTCCGGAGTTCATGGGTACAAACTCACTCCAGTTCCCAATCACTGAGCCCCACAAACCGAGTGACTCACCAGGACCCCAAATCCAGACAGAGTCGGACTTGTAGCTGATTTCCTCAGACTCGCGACCCTGAACTACGCCCCCGCGTTCACAGGTACAAACTTCTCCAGTTCCCAATCACTGAGCCCCACAAGGCGAGTGACTCACAGGGACCCCAAACCCAGACAAGAGTCGGACTCGTGGCTGATTTCCTCAGACCCTTCATCCCTACAGCCAAAGGCCCCGTCATTAACTCCCGGCTTTCTCAGCGACTGCGTTCAAATACAGCCCCAGCCAGGATGCTCCACGCACCATCGGGTACACAGACACACAGGCCGCGAGTCCATGCCCACAACCCGACTCACCTGAGCCCGAACCTCTCCAGACACCACTGGCAGCCGACAAAAAGCCGCATCCAAGTCCGAAACCTTTTCCTATTTAGACGCGCTCCTGAGGCGGCCTACGGGACGCTTTGCGGTGTCGGCGTTGGAGTGAGGCGAGGACCACGGAGCCTGCCCGAGATTGCGAGTTCAGACTGCGGGAGCCGCTCTATGAGGTCACACGGCTGCGCCCATCGCCGCCTTTCTGACAGGAGCGGCCTAAATGGCTGTGGAAATCACTCTTGGCCACCTCAGTGCCTTTCTCTCTGCGTTGCAAGGGACATTCAGCAGCGCTGGGCTAACCACGCAAGCTTTAAGAGTCGGGTGCCCAGCCAAGGCCAAATCGGCGCAGTGGCATTCTATTCAGTCGGCTGGGGGTGGAGCAAAGATGGCGGCGCCCCTTGTGCCCGTTATAGCTGAGACTGGAGCCTTAGCTGGAGCACCATGGGCGCGGCCATCTTAGAGGAAGGCAGCGGCCGTACGACCGAGAAGATGCTGAGACCCAGGACAATTTGGAAAAATAATAAACAAGGTTTGAAGAAGCCACGGTGCTGGGCAGCAAGCGGTCACAGACTTGCCAGAACCAGTGGTCTCTGAAAGTGTTAGATTTGGGGACAGGGCGGGGTTTGTGGACCAGGTAAGGCTTTTGTAGGTTAATTAGACTCTGACTAAATGGACGAAGCCGAGAATAGGAGTGATGCTCCGTTAAATACTGATACCTACATGGGGCTTGCTACAAAACTACTGCCATTGGGGAAGGGGATGAGGTGAAGGTGCAAGTGTATTAATAATATCTACATGTTTCCTTCCACAAGTAAAGGAAGATGACAATGGAGCACTTAAGAATATGGAATTATTAGAATGCGATCATCCTACTTTGCATAGTTTCTAGATTTTTTTTTAAAAGTCACACTTAAAAATGTTAGTTTTATTTTTGCAGACGTTGGTGTTGTAACTGTAGAAGATTTAAGTAAATATTCTCTTTTTGGAAGGCAACCTAGAGCCAATTTAATTTTTTCTTTTTTTTTGACACAGCAATCCTAAAAGTTAATTTGGTAAAAAGCTGTCTTAATATTGACCACAACTTTTGTAATTTACAAAAAAAAAGAGGAATTACAATGAGAGATGAATACTTTGGTAAATTATGGAACATCCGCTTTCAGCTGTAACAGTATATATCAATGTAAAAGAATATACTACAATTGTTTTATAAATAAGAAAAGGTAACTATATTCTTCAGAGGACAAAAAAATGATCTGCAGGATAGTATATATATTATAGTCTTGTTATTAGAAGAAATTATAAACATTTTTTGGAAAATTGTGATCGGTTAAACAAGACATTTAGTTTGAACTAATATTGTTTGTGCTCATAGGTACAGAATGCCATGTTTTTGCATTTGCTTTTTTTTTTTTTTTTTTTTTTAGACGAGTCTGGCTTGGTCGCCAGGATGGAGTGCAGTGGCAAAATCTCGGCTCACTGCAACCTCTGCCTCCCAGGTTCAAGCGATTCTCCTTCCTCAGCCTCCCAAGTAGCTGGAACTAAAGGCATGTGCCACCAAGCCCAGCTAATTTTTGTATTTTTAGTAAAGATGGGGTTTTACCATGTTGACCAGGATGGTCTTGATCACCTGACGTTGTGATTTGCTGGCCTTTGCTTCTCAAAGTGCTGGGATTACAGGCGTGAGCCACTGCGCTCAGACTGCATTTCTTAATTTTATTATCTTTATATCATAATCATGAATATCTATATTATAAAACAGATGTTGATCTTAGAAAAAAATTAGGTATGATGATGTATAAGTTCATGGTATAATAAATGCAAAATAGGCTGTTTTCTTTTAGAAAATAAATATACTGCCGGGCGCTGTGGCTCAAGCCTGTAATCCCAGCACTTTGGGAGGCCGAGGCGGGTGGATCACGAGGTCAAGAGATCGAGACCATCCTGGTCAACGTGGTGAAACCCTGTCTCTACTAAAACTACAAAAAATTAGCTGGGCACGGTAGCGCGTGCCTGTAATCCCAGCTAGTCAGGAGGCTGAGGCAGGAGAATTGCCTGAACCCAGGAGGCGGAGGTTGCGGTGAGCCGAGATCGCGCCATTGCACTCCAGCCTGGGTAACATGAGTGAAACTCCGTCTCAAAAAAAAAAAAAAAATAAAAAATAAATAAATAAATAAATAAATATACTAATGCATTTGAAAAATTCTGGAGAATATACTAACAATATTTGACTCTTCCATACAATTATGGTGACTTAAAATTTCTTCATTTTACTTGTTTTGTAATTTCTAAAGAATAAGAATTTCATGTTTGTATAATTTCTTGAGGGTTATAACATATTCCATCCAGGATTAAATTTCAGCCTCATTTATCTAGAATGTTAATCGCTGCAGTATCTGGTAGGTAAGTTTAGCACCTGGTCCACAGGACTGTGAGCAGCCCATGATGGGACCCTCACTGATCATTTTCAGGAGTGGGCTAATAGTCTTTGCCATGGCAAGCTATGCCAACTCACAGGACAAGGAAGGCGATTCAAGGGCCTTGCAAACTTCTTTTATAAGCTTCTCAGAGAATGCTGAGGTAGGAAGCACAAAGAAAACACTTAGAAAGTTCTTTGGCCGGGCGCGGTGGCTCAAGCCTGTAATCCCAGCACTTTGGGAGGCCAAGGCGGGTGGATCACGAGGTCAAGAGATCGAGACCATCCTGGTCAACATGGTGAAACCCCGTCTCTACTAAAA